TTTCCAGGACTTCGAAACACTACAATGAATTAATATAAAGGATTCTGGCAACAGTGGTTACTATTTTCGTTCTCGCTTAGTAGCCTTTCAAAACTGAACACTGTGTAGGGTATCCCATTGTATTTCCAGGCATGAAACAGCTCTTTACCCCACGCCAGTTCTATGATACATGATAACGCTCAGACCAACTCATCAAACTGAAAACAAAGATGGAAACACAATGTAAATCATAAACGCCGAGATGACAACTTCGAAAAACATGTTTATGGTCTCATAATTGAAACGGATTATGATCGTAAACCTGCAGAACTTTTCTGTCCTACAAATAACTAATGCAATATACCAGAGCTCACAGTACTTTAGATAAGAGTGTAAAAATTCACTACAGTTTAAAATACACGTGCTGTCCAAGTCGTTCTCTGCGATCCTGCATTTCAGTGGCGACGATTACACAAATATAATCGATTATCGCATATACAAATCCACACTCCCAGAGCCAACAACACGAAAGATACCACAGGTTTACAGTAATAAAATACCACCTTCTATTTCGTTGAATGTACCGCATATAAAATTATTTTTAAATATGTATTACATCCTAATTACAGTTACCTTTTATGAACTGTACTAAGGTTTGGTCAAGATCGGTGGTTTCTTTGCTGAGGAAAATTATGATAACTCGGAATCAGTCGGGCAGTTTCGGAGATAAAACTTACAGACCATCACCACCTCCTCTAAATGCGTCCATACACTGCAATTTGTCCTAACCGCGTATAATGAAAGCTCACATAGCCTGCATCTTTAAGGGAGAGTGGCACAACAGCCAATGCCGGCTTAACCAGTAGGCAAACTAAGCGGTCACCTTGTGGGCAAATTGCGGGAGGGGAGGGGCATAATGAATAACAAGAAACGAAAAACAGCGTAAAGTGAAATATAAGAAGCGTATAAAATAGAAAGTGAAAATCAGATTGAAAGAATAAATAAGTATTCAGGTTCGCTGCTTTGTAATATGCCGCCAACAAAATAAATGGTTGATGTGTAGTGTATTGAAGACGACAATGCGATCAGTCGGCACATTTCGTCAAAAACTGCCTCATGAATGAGCATCTTCCGCGGGTATCGTCAGCGGCACGACCGATTTTGTGCCAACAGGCTGTTTCGCTTTTGTTGCAACTTTTCTTTCTACATTTTATCTGCAGAGGTTACATTTACAAGCATTAATCGTTATGTAAATTTATTTATTATTAAAAAAGTTCTCTAATGCAAAGAATTGAGCAGCGTGCATTATTTTATACATACAAGTGATCTGTTGTCACATGATTCAATTCCGAGATATAACTGTAATGTGGCACTGTGCACTTGATGCACAATATTCATTTTCCGAAGTTAATTGGTGGGAGGAGGCCAAACACCTTTGAGCCTGCCCTGACTATGGCCTATTGTTGCAAGGATAATCAGGGTCACAAACTGATTTTTCTTTGTTGCCATTAGAACTAACGTATGAGCATAACATTTGAATCTTAACATCCGGTAGACTAGACAGATTCAATTTCTTACACGCGAAAGAGACAATCTGGAAATGTCTGACGCCAGATCAGTTCCTCTGCTCTGAGAATATTTTGTGGCAGTCCACACCTCAAGAAAACAAGTCAAGGGTAGGAGGGGGCAAAGACGCTACGACGGAACGAACATACAATTCCACAAACATTATCATCTTCCAAAGCAAACTGCTTCAATATCTGAATTTACTGTGGAATAAATCAAGTGCGTACTTTTATTAGAATGGCGTGACATTCACTTCTTTATCTTACATGGTTTGTGAATATTCGATTTCTGTTTCTCCTGACGATTTGTGCACCGCGGTCCAGAATTCTTTGCTTCAACACTACCATTGCCTACATTAAATCTTGTCAAATCCGGATGTGGGCGTCTGTGAATCAACGTGGTTTACGAAATCCCACACGATCCAAGAGCTTCGTTGCAGTTTCCATTCCCAAACCACTTTTTTTTGCGGTATGAACTTCCTTCAGATAAGGTGGCAAGTCCATCCGTCAACGTCAGCCATATGTTGAATCGCACAGCTTGTTTTATGTCTGCACTGTGATAGGTGCACTTACAGAGGACTATGTATTATTCCTGTTATTATTCCGAGCTGCGAAGATCGAATCGAGATTGTATCATGATATATAACAATGTATTAGAGCTGCGATAGTATTTATGCATTCTTTGCACGATGAGCATAAAATAAATGTCCATCTGTCCACATTATTCAACTCGAAAACTGCTAACGGATTTGGATAAAATTTGAAATAGACTTATGCAACTGCGGACTGCTCTAAATCGTACTTTTCAATTTTCTACAACAGGTAATACCAACATGGCGGATGAGCAAACTTTTGAGGTGAGACTGTAGACAGAGTCACTCGCAATAAGGCCATAGATGATATATGGTTAGAGATTTTCGGGAAATGAAAAAGTTACTATAATTCAGCATTATAATTCTTTGCATAATGTAAAATAACAACAGAAGCTGCATAAAAGAAAAAATAAACTTCGCCAGGATTCGATCCTATGACCCCGTGGGTGTAAGTCCAGTATGCTACCATAGACCTAAAGCACCGTATGACGTAATATTATTGATTTGGTAATCAAACGCGATCGTAATCATAATAATCAGAACTGTGAAACAAGCCCTTTGCCTGTTCCTGGAACAAGGATTAACATTTCTCCATCTTCGTGTCAGATGTTACTTGCATCTTCTGTCCTTCCACTTATACCGATTAAACAAATCTGGGTCTCGGTTTCAGGCATTAGTTACTCGTGTTCTGGCCACTTAGTTTGATATTCGTATCGAGCTGTTATCTATTATTCCATTTCTTCAATACATTCATTGCATTTATGATCTGACATTCTCCATTCTTCGAGCGTCCTAAGGAAGAGAATTTTTACTGCCTTCATTATATTAACTTTTTCTTTGGTTAACGTTCAACATTCAGACCGGAGCATATACATCGCTATTATTCTACAGAATTTTTAATAGCGTTTGCTTGTTTAATTTCCGTTGTGGCCCGCCTAATGTTCGATTTATGTAAACATCACTCTCTCTCTCTCTCTCTCTCTCACACACACACAAACACACACACACACACACAAACACACACACACACAACCTCTTTATCGAAAATGTCCCCGGTTTAACCTAATCAATCTTCTTAATGAAAAGGAAGTACAGTTGTGAGAGTACCGTGCACTTTGGTAACAAGTATTAATCAAAAGAAAAATAACAAAAATGATATCCGATCTTCGGTTAACCGACAGTCCGTTTTATCCGACGTACTGAGCAAATACCCATTACTAATAAAATAAATAAATAAATTCTTTCGTTTACAAGTTTACATAGTGTTAAATATTATTTGTATTTGTGAGATTTCTAATGCCTCACTTTTTCTTCTTAATTTAATAAAATCGTAAACTGAGTTAATATTTACCCTCGTCTTTTTAATTTGTATTCCGTATTATCCGACCGTCCTTCGGACCCACTTAGGTCGGGTAATCGGGTCTCTCTGTACGAGATTAATCAACAGGGCGGACCTATCATTTCCTTCAACCAGCGTGACGCTGTTAATTCCACTCCACGTCTTCATGGCGTACTGCCACAACTATGCAATTATTGTACATATCAAAGCACAGACTACAGTAGCACATTGCTTAGCTCAAGAAAATACCTGACGAATATTCTTTTTGCCGTAACACACTGCGTGCATCGCATAATCTACGATCCAACAGCGGTCACAATCGATTTGGATAAATGGTTAAAAAGTTAATATAACAGCCACGGAACAAGGGAATGGGTGTGGACCCCGTAAACCGGAAAGTTCTTCAGTGAAAACAGGAAATCAATACCATCCTAAATGTACTTACACGCGTCGAAAATTTTCCACTTCAATTCTGTATACCAAAATGTCAGCGTCAGACCTGAATATTTACTGGTCGCAGCACAGTGGTCAGTGACCGGAGGTCCTGACTGAGAATTTCGTAGCTTTCCTCAGTCCCCCAATGAAAACGCTGGGATAGTAGGCCCACCGTAAATTAGGCCACGGTCGCTTCCATCCATATCCTTTAAAATTCATTATTTATTAATCATCCTCTTTCGACACTACAGTCTATAGTACGAGCTACAACCACCATCTATCTATTCCTGATATAATGGCCAATGACCGTCACGCCTGACCGTACAAGTACGCTGTTCGTGGGATGGGGCACAATTGAAACTAAGTTCTGACGATGGCGACTCTGGTATCAAGAACTTCAAATGAGACTATGGTGGCGCATATGATGGGGTCTGGCGAAGTCCGCGTTCGGCTTAAGGTGGAGTGAGATTGTCGGTTTTGTGTTGGTGCGTTTGACACGAAACTGACTTCAGTCGAAGAATGCTTTCACAATTTGCCGGTAGTTTATAAGGAATTTTATAAAATGTTATATTATCAATGCGATTTGCAAGGTCAGTGTTGCAATACACTGAATTAGTGTTCGACACAATAAAGGTTAAATCCTGCCAACGTTGGCGGGTCATACTTACGCTAGCAAAGTTATCTTACAGTGTGAAAAACAAGGGTTTTTGGTGTTCGGTGAGAGTTTCTGTTTCAGAACGTTCTTGATTTATTTTCGTTTAACGGTTCAGTTTGTCGTGGAGCACCTGAAGAGGGCATACTTTGGATTTGCGACACCTTTATAATATTTAAAACATATACAAAGGGAAGCACAAAAGGAACAAAATTATAAACGGAAAAGAGAAACAAACAATGAAGGAAAATGAAAATCAAAAAAACTAGGAAAGCAGAAAGGAAATAAACAAGGATAAAACGAACAGAGAAAAAAGGATGGGGAAAATAATTACCATAACATTCGTGGTGTTAGCAAAGGCAATCCCAAACACTGGACTGTTGATACCATCCGTTACCAGAAAGTGGTCCTGTTTTCATGTGGCATGACGCACTTACCCAACAGGAGCAGTTTTATGTCTTTGGCTGCCTGCAGCCCATCCTCCTTGAGGTTCCTCTCGATTTGCTTGCTCCGTAGTAGGGCTGCCCTCTCCTCTGCGGAGTGCCCGCAGCCCATCCTGCGTCCTACCTCCTTCACGAACGTGACGACGGCTGTTCTGATACACGGGTCCAAGAAAAACACTCCTCCCCCACCTGATCGCAAAGCGGTACAGAGGCTTCCGACCACCCCTGCTACAGAGCCGACTGATAGCACTAGATTCCTACCACCTCACTCTCAAGCGCACTGAACCACAACCAGAAGACACGATAGAGCACTTCAACCCTACTGCACGAAATTAAGGGACTTCACTTCTTACTCTTACTGCGGAAACGGACAACGCAACTTCCCGCTGATTCTTGAATTATCTTTTAAGAATGCTGCGGAAACGGACGGTGCAAACCTGTAACTGGTAAGTTGTTTATCTCACAAATTGCCGCTGACCGCTACGGGTCGTACACTTCCTCAAACAGACTCGATCAAAATGAAGCTCCTCCCGTTTCTGACTTCGGTGGCGGGCACACAGAGTGCGCGCGCGCAGTTCCACTCTGTACTCCGGTACACAACAAAAGCCCAGACCACTGATCTAAAAAATTGAACTTTATTTTTTCTTGTGCATCAAATTGTGAAATAACCGATAACACCACACACAAGCATGTGTTCATCGACAGAACAGACACGACACAAGTGACAGGCAGTAAAACAAAAACAAAACAAAATCATGGAAAACAGTAACACGTGACAAGTCGTTAAAACTAACGACGACTAAAGTCAATAATTTCATATGTCTTTATTTTATCTTTCTTTTATGAATTTTGCGCACTGCGTCATGGAGGTAGCGTACTTGGGCCGCAAAGACCCAAAGAGTCTTTCAAAGAAATTATGATATGGACCAAAGACATGAAATGCAACGGAAGTATGGAGACCATCGATACGTGCCTGGTACAAGAAGTTCAAGGATACCCGGAAGTGTTTTTCATCAGGAAGGCACAGAGCACCCACGTGTGTCTGATAAAAATGTCGAATGGTTACGCAGGATCTTTGTCCCCAGTCCACGTAAGTCGACATGAGCTGTACGTAGCACTGAGTTGCAAATGCCGAATGCGACATTGCATCGGGTGTTACGAAAACGTTTGCATCTATATATGCTTGCAAGTTGCAAGTAATTACGCCAGATGATAGGGTAGACCGTAAGGAACTTGCAGTGACCATGATGAGAAACTGGACGAAAACAACGAATTCCTGAGGAGAAGAAAATCAACTTCTTCAACGTGGCCAATTCCACGTTTCAGGGAAGGGGAAGGTAAACAAACACAACGTACGCATCTGGGGATCAGAATACACTCGTCCTACGGTGGATCAAATTAGTGACAGCCCCAACGTTGATGTGTGGTGTGGCCTGTTGCACGATCGTTTGATCGCACCCTTTTTCTTTGCCGAAGAGACTGTGAGATCCAGCAATTACCTGGATATGTTAGAAAACATCGTTTATCCACAGTTACAAGAACTGCAGCCTGTCGTGTTCTTCCAGCAAGACGACATGCTGGTCCCATCTCGTGGCCCGGCAGATCACCGGACATCACACCCTGTGATTTTTCCTATGGGGTACGTAAAACAAAAGACCGTGTACCGAACTCCGGTGGCCGACATCAACGATTTGAAGGACAGAACTGCAGCCGCTATTGCAACAGTTGACTTTGACATGCTGCAGCGTACATGGATGGAACTTGAACATCGTTTGGACATTGTGCACGTGACAAATGGTGCCGTGTAATGTCCAGAATGCACAATTTCATATTCCAAGCGTCAAGGGTCCATCGTATTTAAAATACGTAGTTCGTACGATAATTTAGTTTTAAAACATATAGGAAACAAATCATTTGGATTACTAAACACAGATGGGAGCATAACATAAAATTAGCCTTAAATGGGACAGTGCCAAGAGGCAGGCTTTTTTTAATATGGTTGAGAATCCCCGGGTTTCATAAGGGCTGGGGAATATCTCGACTAGCTAAGCGACTGTTGGCTTTTCAAGAGTGATTTTGCTCGACTGAATTGGCTTATTAAAGTAAAAGGAACTCCTTGACCTGCTATCAAGACGGAAAGCTCTGTAGCATGAGTTAATTTTTTTCTAGGTACACTCTTCACTGACAAACGTAGATCAATAATAATAATTCATTAGGCATCCTGTGACGCTAATAAGAGTTCACGAACAGTGAATAAATGCTGCTGCGAAGTCCTCAGAAATTCGCACTCAACAATGCAATGAATGTTGTAACACGTGGACCAACATCGTACGCACTGTAAAATCATCCATTATATTTATTACAATTTCCAAGACAGTGTGAATTGGGCAGGTCCCATCTACAATTACCCAACGCCCTAGTAGAACAGCTAATTAAAAACAACCGGTCTACAGAGAAACCTTTTGTTCAGTAAGGAATGAAGTCAATGCACCCCGCTGCCTAGCAACTGTATTCCCAAATGAAAAAAGTGTTAAAGGCGACAAAAGTTAAGATCATGCCACCACCACATACAAAGAAAAAATCTTTAAGTAATAAAAAACCTTGAAATATTCGCTGGTATTCTTCTGGGTTGTGACGCCGAATGGACTCGTAGGCAGATACCAACGTTTCAGCCCTGAAAATGGAAAAGACATGTTTCTCCGAAACGCTGGTACCTGCCCTTGACTACACGCGGCGTCAAAACCCATAACACAGACATTTTCACAGCCACAGCGTTTAAAATAAACACCACGTTTATTACAAACGGTTCAACCACTTGATTAGCTGAATGCTTGCAGAGTAAACTGAAGCAATAAAAATATAACATAAGTGACTTAAGTTTATTAATTTGGAAGAGTTAATATAATTTCGATATTGCACGTCAAGCACTTGAAACTATAGCAGAAACACAGACATGGAAACCAAACGATGAATCTATTACTACGTGTCGACCTCAAATTTTCTATAGGTCTGTACATTTATACATAATATTGGAAATATGTACTCCAAAGCGTTCTTTGCAAATCTGCAAACCCTATTGGTCTACATGTCCATTTATTACACTTAATGTTAATTAGTTACTGTACAAACATCACATTGTGTAAGGTTAGAAATTACTTTTATTGTATGTAATTAAATATTCATCATATCGAAAAATATTTCAGGCAAGAGTTTCAGAACTAAAAACAGATCTACATGCTGCAATACGTACCAGCTTTTGTATGATTAGCCACTTAAACTAATAAAATTATACTTTAGCTTCAGAAATGACTGAAAGGTCGTGTTATCACCATTATACAAATTAATCCACGCCACTCACGTAGTCACAAAAAAAATGGGAATCAAAAAATCCCCATCCCCTCCCAAGAATCGAACATAAAATCTCACGCGCTTAACAGCGATGCGAAAATAAAATTCACCTGAACAGAGCTGGTCGAAAACGAGTTTGGAGTTATCAGAATGAATGAGTAGACATTTCTCCTTAACGCACTTCTGTGAAAAACCGATTAAAACGTGTGGCACACAATGATCTGTGATGTCACGACGTCTGGTCCTCTCGTCATGAACTTGCAACCTCCTCTTCCTGGGTTGAAGTGGGGAGGAATCAATCTCCGGGTCCCTTTCACTTTAACATTGAAGATGCAGGCAGCAGTTCATCCAAAATGTTGATACGCAACCAGAATACCACAGGGCTCAGCAACCTGACACATCTCCGTGTAAACCACAAATCCTACATTCCCTATTCTAGGCCTACAGTTTAAATATTTCACGCATAGACCTATGCCTAGGAGCTTTCCTTCTTATGGAAAATTAGCTCTTCACTGAGACGCGTTTTTTTATTTTCAGAAACGCAATTACTGAGTAACTGGAGAAAAGATTATGCATGACAGAATGTGACAAACGCGATAGGAATATGTACCATAATTTTGTGCAAAGTTGCGGATAATAGGTAACATTAAATAAGACAACTCTGTTCATGTCAGGTTAAATACTTTTTAACTCATACATACACGTATGCCGTGGGTCTAGTGGTGCCACTCGACCCAAGGTTTGCTGGTTCAAACCCGACCGAGGTCGATGGATTTTTAAGGGTGATAAAAATCCGTAACACGACTTCCTTCGGAGGGGAAGTAAAGCCGGCGGTCACATGTCGTAGATTTTCGGCATGTAAAAGAACCTTACGAGCATGAATGAGATGTTTCGTAAGCAAAACTCAGCGGCCATTTCTCACCCATGTCCCTCTGGTAGAGGCCTTGCGATGGGCTGATTACTCGTCCAAAGAGTCCCTACCAAATGTATAAAAATAGATCAGAAACCTCTGAAAGGAGGCCCCTATGCTCCACGTAGGAGAGGAATGGGTGGTAGAAGAAGAAGAAGACATACACATATCCTTTGGTATTTTCCGTTGTCCTTTATTTTGTTCGCCAAAAGCACATGTCGAAAGATGGCTCTGCTTTCGACATCAACTGAAAGGAACTAATCTGGCTGTTGAAAACTCAAATAAACTCCTTGAAATCGACAAAGCAGATTAGGTTTTGTACTGTTTTACGTGATGGCGGAAGCACAGCCATCTTCCGAAACGATGTGCATTTTAACCAGAACAAAAAGAGTCGAAGAAAAATGTCCAGTTTAACAACACAACCTCGACACAAAATTTTAGACAAAATCAAATTGCGAAAGATGAAGTTGAAATAATGCACTACAATTCTAAGCATTCGAGTTCGTTGCTGATTGTTAAACATGTACAGGCAGTACTGATGTCACGCGGTTGCGAGAAGATGAACAATCAATGCAACTTATTTCGGTAAATAGTAACAAAATTTCGTTTCTGGCCTAAAAACAGTTAAGACAAACGCTACGTCATGTTTCATTCAAATACAGTATTCTGGTAATCTCACCAAAAGCACTGCAATGAACATATGATTATCACACTCAAGAAGAAAATATCTTTTCCAATGTTTTTGCTTCTACAGGCCTAATGAGGAAGCTGAACGCACTGTGGATACACAAAAGAGAGATGCGGGGTGTGGGTGGCATCAATATCAGCGATACTTTACGCGGTAATGGAGCTCGCTGAGTTCTACTTCAGACACTAACAGTCGCTCGGCTAGTTAAGAAATATCTGCCTTCTGTGAACCACGAAGTTTAATTACCGTCTACAAGAGAGACCGCCACAAACAGGGCAGCACCACCTGCAGCGAAATAAATTAAATATCACAAAAAAAATATTCCCTTGTGAATCTAAAATAGCTGAGGAACATGTGTTATTCAGTTCCACCAAATTGCAAAGGACGTTCAGAGGAATCTGGTATGCTGACACCAAGAGCTGTAATAAGTGGTTTCGTCCATAATAAACGTATCTTCCTGGACTTTGAATATTTTCCCAGTATCTGCACACGAATGATCACAATGAAGAACTCGCACCACGTCCAAACCATCAGCAGTGTACATATCCAACATAACAGGCAAATC